ATTGAAATGCGCACATTATTAGCAGCCTGCCCATCGTGCAATAACGTTTATTGTGCCAATTGCGGCAATGAATACCATGGTGCTTGCCAAGTTTTCATTGAACCCAGCTATGGATTGGTATGCGAAAAGTCAACCCTGTACAAACTGAATTACGGTTTAAGTTAGAAATTAATTAAAATTAATTTAAATTCTAAAACTAGTCTATTATTATGTGCATACATAAATTATGTAAACATTTCATAACGTGCTTTATAAATTTGTTTTTGTCAACATTTTTATTATCACTCATAAATGTTTGTCTGTCAAATTTTGGGGACTGGTCATTGGAAGAATTATCATAATTAATTATCAGGGTCACTTTGGCGTAGTAGTTGTTGGCGGTGCTCAGTCGCCCGAGCCCTCAGAAGTCTGTCAGTTTCCGGTCGCCGATCCCTATCCCTTGTCATGCCATCATCGCTATCCAATGTTACCGAGGTGGTGTCACTTTCAGTACAGTCTGCACCACCATGGTACGGCTTATAGCAATTGGTGCAGAATATTAGCCCGCACTTTGGGCATGTAGCATGGTCAACATCCAATTCTGATACACACTTGCATTCCGGGTTTGGGCAATAATACTATAATAAATGTGGCTATTATATATTAATTATAGCTAGGTTATATGACTGAGATTGGGTTTTATTGAGTTAAGTAATGTTAATAAAAAAATGTAAATTGTAATTAATACACAACTCATATATAGATTAGATTTTTAAAATATTATAAAAATGTGTACAAAGTAGCAGCACTTACGTTATTGTCTATACCTTGAGAAGCTGTATGATTATCAGATATGCTTGAATCAGTTATCAAATTTTTATTATCACGCTCATTTCTGGACACATTGACAGTATCATCTGCCTCGGCATTACTCATAGCAATAGCCAATTGTAGTTGCTCATAATCGCTAATTGGCGTAACACTATTGCGAGCACCTTGGTTGGCCCTAGTTTTTAATTTCTGTATTTGACCAGGTTTTGTTGATTTGACACCAGTGTTAAACACCTTTCCCACGGTTTCCCTGATAAAACTTTGTTTTCTTAAAGTAACATGATAATGTTAAATTAATCATTTTATAAATTAAAAAACTCTAAATCAAATAACATCTACTATTTATAAAATAAATTTTATATCATTTAAAATAATTATAAATTATTTATAAATTTTTAAAAATAAACAGCTAGTACGTTTATATTTTATATTTCTTAAAGGTTTATTTACAATGTACGTTCTCATTTGTATGCCTAATGGGATAATGATTACGGTAATTAAAAATTCCTTATGCGCAATTAAACTAAATGAAGAAATTAAATATTCACATATGATCGTCAATGTAGAGAAAACCATTGTTTGTATTTTTAAATGCAAACTGTATTTGTAACTAAACCATAGTATTCATAGTATACATGTATATGTGATATACTATTAATATTATGATTATGTTATGTATACAGTTTTCATTGAAAAATACATACCGGTTTTCAAGACCTGGGCGATCATATATTCTCGTGCATACTTTATGAACTGCCCTTATTTAAATACTTACGATGCTGTCGCTGCCTGATTGTTCTGGCTAATTTCATAGCCCATTTGTTTGAGCTTTGCTATCACTTCCCGTCGGACAGTATCGCGCAAATCAATCAAATTTAAGCCACTGTTTGCGTATTTGGGGACCTTTTCATCGATTAGATGACGGATTAAATGGGTAACGTATTGTTTGGATTGCCCGTCAGATGTCATTTTAAGTTAACAAAGTATTTGATAACTTAATAAATAATAAAATAATATGTTTCAACAAATTATATTTAATACTGTTAACATGCAAAAAATATATTATAAATTGTTACCATATTAAAAAACATACTGCCTGTGTACGATACAAAACTACTGAAATGACAAAATTATTCATTATATTAAATAACATATTATTCATCAAATAGGTTTTGGTATTATCTAAGAATTTAGATTAGGTTTATCAATTTAATTTTGGTTATTTGTTTTATGATTTTATTATCTTATACTTTTCATATCATAATTATGAAAATAACTTGTTATTGTATAAATAGTTAAATGTCAAATACTATTGTTAATATAATAATAACACAATTTTTTCTAAAAAATATATTTTCTAAAAACATATACAGAATATGTTACCAACTCATTTAATATTTTTTTATTGATATGTGATTTTATATTTTGCGGGCATTGCCTGTAAAACCTCGTCCGACCAGGCTCTTACTAAATTATTAATATTAATTTCTAAACTATACAATTATATTAAAATATTAGTATATTTTATTAACTATATTATCTAAATACATCATAATATTAAAATTATAAATTTTTATTTAATATAGTTTTAATTTTATTGTACTAATACTAATTAAAATATTTTATCGGCAAGGCTGATTTTGGTATTTTGCAATATTACGGGCACCTATGATCGTAATTAATCCAAACACCCATACATATCCAACAAAACTCGTGGTTACACCTGGTGCACGTCATGTGAATGCAACCATCATTTTTCTATAAAGATGTTTTAAATAGATAAACATGAAAAAATATATAAATAATCATGTTAATAATAATAATAATAAAAATCATGTAGCATGTCACATTACATAAAGTTAATTAATAACGTTAGCCCAATTCACAAAGTCATATTTATAATCATAACCCAAATGATTATTAGGTCAACTGATAGTACACTAAATTAGTAAATAAAATTGAACATGGCCGTTTACTTCGATGGGCCGTCGACACCCCGGACACGGTTTTGACGTAATCCGGATCGTCTGCTCCGAACTCTCATCCTGTTTACGACGCTCTTCCTGGCGTTCCCTCTCAAGTCTCAGTCTCTCGGCCTCCTGTTCGGCCACAATCTCCCGTTCCCTTCGCTCCCTCTCCTCCCGTTCCCTCTGCTCCCTAACCCGTCTCTCCTCCTCAGCCCTGCGCTCCTCATCGGCCCGTCTCTGCTCTTCGAACAGCTGTTCCGCGCGACGGATCGCCGCCTGTTCTCTACTGATAGTCTCCAACCACTGTCTGTCCTCCTCGACCAACGCCTCGATGGCCCTGAAAGTAGGGTAACCGTTGTTTTTTAGAAAATTTCACCCGATATTAATTTGTTTGTTTCTGTTTATAACATTGAGATGTTTATAATAAATATTGAAATTGAGTAGTTGTCAAAAAACACATTTCATAATTTACTCTGTATATGGATAGGTTTATGCTATTCAGGTGTAATTGTTTATTGTATTCACCCTGTACACAAAGCATAAATAATAAACTCACTATAATATTATACCATAGTATAGTATATAATTCTGTATTGCTTACAGTCTGAATTTAGTAAACACTTTCATCTGTATGTGAATCAAAAGGTCTAAAAATACCTGCGATTTAGTTCATCTTCAGACACTATACTCTCCACATAGTCTTTGTCGTCATTCAATTGGATAAGATTACGGCGCTCATCATCATCCAGGTCACAGTCGGTGCGCTCGTGGTATGCCTTGTTGCAGAATATGCAAAATACTAGCCCGCACTCGGAACAGGCAGCATGATCAACTTCCGCCTCAGTAATGCCTGTGCAAGTAGGTGTTGGACAGTAATACTGCGCATGGAGTATAAGCAATGTAATTCATGATTAATAATTAATGGTATACTACTTTTTATTGTTTTTAATAATTTACAATTAAATTAATCATTTAGATTATTATTAAATCACAAGATTCTTTAATTGCTTACAACTAATGTATGAATGTTTGTAAAATTTTATAATATATACCAGTTATAAGATTTATAAACTTTTATATCATAAGCATTTTGTAAGTATTACAATTTTTAAGTTTAATAATGAAAACTAAATTCTGAGTTTGCATTAAAAGATTTAACGTTTATTAACAGCTAGCATTTATAACTAATATTTAATACTACCTGTACCACTATATAATTAATGACCAGAATAATGTATTGTTTAAACGTAATTACTTTTTACGAACTTAATTAGCATACCAAACTCTCATTTGCACATGTTCAAAAAAATAGCAACTAGTACAATAAATCCGATAAATACTCACCACATAAGGTATGTCCTCCACGGCAACCTTAAGTAGCAAATACTGATAGCGCTTATAAAGTACGTCGTCGTCCAATATATTTTGCACCAACTCTTGCGTGACAATAACGTGACAATCCTGGTCCATACATTCAATATCCAGCACATCTCCCTCCCTTATACCCACTGTTAAATAGGCTTTCACACAACCCGTGCAAAATAGGTGTCCGCATCCGAAATCCTCCAATTTGTCTAACGTATATGTTTCGATACATATGGGACATGTGAATTGTCCATGCTCACTCTCCTCATCGCCATCTGAATGTGTGGTGTCTGGTGGAGTGGTGCGCCCTAATTGTATTTATAGTTATGATTATCATAGTGTCAATGGGGGGTCACACTAGTAGTAAGAAACATTTAACATTTTAATATTAATCTCCCTACAGACTAATGTTAAAATGTTAAAAGTTGTATAACTACTAGTGTGGCCCGAATTGGCACTTTGATAATAATATGTTTATATTATTTGACTAGTTAATTTTGTTTAGCCACCTTACTGACATTGTTAATTAACATTTATTTCCAAAAGTGACTAACATATAAAATTAGCAATGTTATAACTTATAAGGATTACAATAGAAAATAATCTGAAAACCCTTAAATATTTAGTTACTTTAAAATATGTTGAATAGTGTAAAATAATTATGTTTGAATATTATACCTCGAGGGACAGGTGGTGTATTTGGTACATCCAATGTGTTTGCTTCGAAAAAGTTATCTTGCTCATCATCGGACATGTTGAACAAGATTGCAAACATTTATTTGAATATTTAAATAAAAATAAATTATTAAGTTAAATATATTTTATTATATACAGTACACAAAATAGTACTATGGTAATGTTTATCTACGTATTATTATTTATAACCTTTTACTCTCTACTTTAATACATAGGTACAAATCATTTAGACAAATAAGTATGAAATAAAATTATATAAGTGATAAAAAAATATTTATCACAATTAAAATATATTATGTAGACAGTTTTACGCATTTAGAAAAAATAAACTGTCTTATATATGATAATATTAATAATTACATTTGAGGTATTTCATTTTATTTGATAAAATTCATAATGTAATATCTATATAATAAATCTAAAAACACTAGCATTTCATTATAGATACTATTTTATTAGAAATCATTATATTTACAAAACATAATTAAATTGCTTATAACAATATTAAATTAAAATATATAATAAAATAACAAATTTAGCTTGTTATTTTTATATGTTCAATATATTAAACAAATAGATTTAAAATATTAACAAATATGATAAAACATTATTAATATATTTTAATTGTTACATTTTAAAAATAGCTATTATATAATAAGTGTATATAAATTATAGTCTTGCTCATAATATCCATAATTTAATTTTTAGCATATAATATTATGACTTATAAGTACATATAAAACTTAAACTATCAAAATAATTTATTTATTGCAGATTAAATAACACATTTTCTAGTAAATATAAATAACCAAAATAAACTTGTATTACTATTAATTTTTTTTTATTTTTAAAAAATTACTTTATTAATAAATTACATATTATATTTACGATACAATATTTTCAATTACTAGCAAAGATTTTAAAAATACTTTTAATTTCTACTATAATTAAATACTGTAATGAAAATTCATGTGATTTAAAAAATCTATTTACTTATAATTGGTAGCTTTTAACTAACAATTTTGTTTCCTTAAAATTGTATTAAACTTATTTTACATTGTGCATGTCGTAAATCTAACAATGTTTTTATGATACTTATTAAAAACAATTTCATATTAATATATTAGTCTTGATCATTTATGCTTTCATAGCCAAAAATTTCATATTTTTCCATGATATGTTATTAATATTTAAATCTATAATTTAAAACAATAAAATTTATAAATAATTAAACACAGGTCAACTATTAAATTAATGATGTTCGTACCGTTTACCATGCTTATACATAGGCTCCAACATTTGCAATTGAGGTACGAGTGGCACCACATCATCCCTGACCTGTAGGACTACACTGTAGTGATCCCTACCATTATAGTAAAGTAGTATGGGTTGGGCGCCGACATCGGCCTCATCGGCGATATACCGAAAGTGATTATTTATGGGCTGCCGTTCGTAGGCATCCTTAAGCTCGGGGTAATTTCGGGGATAATATGGGGTAAACACCTCCCGGAGAGACCCGTAGCTATATATAGGTCGACGCAGTGCTAATGATAGGGCCATTATGTGCATCTCATCGCCCCATACCTTGGTAATATTGTGAAAAATTAAATTAGTTAGTTATATATTCTTAGTAAGCTTATATTATATTTGATGCAATATTTTACAAAATATTTTTACATAAGTAATAAATTCAATGTTCTAGAAGTATTTAAAAATATATAGTATCGTAGCTAAATTTAAGTCATATATAAAATAACTAATTTTAAAACTATTAATATACTGTCATTGGGAGTATATTAATTTTAATAAAATCAATTATATAATTATCATAGACATAAGCTAACTATTCAATTATTATATTTAAAAAAAATTCAAACATGAAAATCAATACAGGTACAATAATACAAATATAATAAATAACAATAAAACACCAAGTCCATAACCACTGGTCATTCTACCTGCAAGTCCATTGCACTCCTAATGAGGTCATAATAGGAAAGCTCGTGTTTATAACCATAATGATCTTGCTGCTTTTTTAAATGACTGGAATGTGGCCTTGTGGTCATAAATTGTACTTGCTGTTAATAGTCTCAATGACTCCATAAGCAAATTATCCCCCCTGAGGGCGGTGCTGACGGAGTTCCACAAACAATTGCCGTCTCCTCTAATATGGACACACACTAATTCATCACGTAGAGCACCGTGCATAAATAAGGATTCCGTGTCACGGTGATGTTTATCGGGGTCATAAATCGTCATGCAACCAACTTCAATCATTACAGACTTTATATAGAGTATATGATCATCGAAATAGTCAAACAATCTCATCCAGCTAATTTTATTAGCAATATTAACCGGGTGCTCCATTATTTTAGCTACATATAGTATGAGTCGTGATATATCATTACGGTTATCAGGCTGAATGTCGCTGACATGGCCCATGTCAAAAATATTTGAGCATGTACATGATTCGTACGATTCTAAGCAATTTATTATTTTCATTATTTGTTCCAGGTTGCATTTTTCACCATTGATTAGCATGTATAATTGATCTTGAATATTAGCTAATACAGTAGCCTTAATATCAATCATTTGTTCCTGGTCATATTCGATCATGTCTAATTAAGAATTTTATTATAAATACACAAATAAATATTCAATAACAAAAATATTACCTTGGTCGGTGGTATTAGTTGCCCTAGTGCCCAGTTCATGTCCATTTTCAGTGTGGCTATTATTTTCCATCATTTCGCGTTGTCCTAGTTTAAATTAATATTACAAACTTAATATAATGTGCTAACATTTAATTTTGAAATGATCCGTTTTAAATGAAGTTCACTAAATGTAAAATTTATTTACTTTGTTCAAGTTCACTTGATAAATTATTTGATTTTTCAACATAATTATTACCGGCTTTCCCATTAACCACCTGTACATACGATTTTGTGTTTAATGTTATGGCATGACTATATTTATAGTTAAATATTTTATCAAATTAATTTTATAAATAATTAAATTAATATCTATTTAAAAGACTTAACAAGCACATAAACTCTGCTATTACATTATTATTTTTTGGTCTGGGTATTATTGTGTTTAGTATTATAACTAACATATTATAGTAAAGTTTATGTGCTAGTTTTGTGTATTTTTAAATTAAATAATACGTTGAATTGACTTACATACAATAATCATCAAATTGTTCATTGAATATTTTATCAAAATCTATTTTTAAAAAATTTATTAGACATAATGTTTATAATGTTATATTTAATTTACCATTAATAAGTAGCTTACCAGTATACTGCATAGCGTTCATAATGTTATAATTATATGTTTGGTTATGTAATATATATTTAAATAAACAATGTAAAACAATTTATTTTATTAATAAAATCATTTTGAAATTATTAAACAGCTTTAATTTATATTTTGATATTTATATAACGACTAATAATATACGTTACATTAGATAAATATAAAGTTATCATAGAAACTCATTTTATTTATAATATAGCATACAATATTATAATGACTCAATATTTAATATATCATTTATGATAAATGATAAGAAATAGGAGGGTATGTATTAAGGCAACATTAATGGGAATGGCATATAAACTAAATTCATAAATAAGGCTAAGATATAATATAATAATTTAAATTTATTAATTAATAATATTAATTAATTATTGTGCATTAGTCTGCATTGTGCAAAAATTTTATAATTCAAATATACTTTGTTTTGCTAGTTTATCTACAATAATTTATATATATTAAAATATAATGTAAACTTATGTAAAATTACTTAAATTAAATATCATGCTAAACATTATTTTTTATTAACAATATATCATTATACCGTATTCATAATAAGGTTTTTGAATTATTAATATCATAAAAATAAAATAATTTTATGTAATATCGCTTTTGTCTGTAATAACAGATTATAATGCATACCTAATAAAAGTCATAATTGATAACATATTTACCATAAAATAAACTATTACATTCTTAAGGCTTGTAAATATGGATAATATTGTATTCAATTGTATTATGATGGATTAAAATTAAAATTATTTTATCATTGTTGATATAGAAACTAGGGAATTACTGAACTATCCCCCATTTCCTAACCATTTTCCCACAATAAACGGAAGGCCTATCTTACCTGTCCTGGTTTATGTATACTGTATTATTATAGTCTAATATAAATTTATATATATTAGATTAGTATAAGTTAGGGTAGGTTAGGCTTGGTTAGGCTAGGTAGCATACTTTGTAATGGTGAACCAATTGCCATGAAATTGGAGATATTTTAGTATATACCTTCATTAGATTAATTGATATATAACCTTGATTAAATTTATAGTTAAAGTAAACATTAATATGTCAAATGTCATTTATATAGTTGATCGAAGTCCACGACCAAGCTAAGTACTAATGTGTTATTTCAATATTTTACAAACAAGCTCTATTACACAATTATATTTTCAAAGCTGCAATAATTACTTTCGACTACGTTGTTTAGTCACTTTATATTTATGATAAAAACTTATATTGAATAATTTTTAATAAGATTATAATTATTGATTGGGTGTTAAAGTAGTATGTTATTATTAAATATTATTTTATATGTTTTCTATGTCAATATATGTGTAAGCCTAAAACAATTTAAAGGTTTTTGCTATCTAGCGTTTACTGTATATGAAATATATATTAAACTTCTATCATACTTTTATTAAACTTATTCATTATAAAAGTATGATA